GAACGATTGAGATTTGGATATGTGATGCAAAGAGCGCCGCGGCGGGCACCAAATTGAGTGTTGATACAGATATTTTGAACTCCGCTTGCGCTTCTTGATCTCTGTCTCAAACTCCCATTCTAACCAGCGCATATTTAACCGTTGCTATTCGCCACACTTTGGCTATCGTCAAGAGAAGTCCATAGCTCAAGCGCTCATGACAGGGAGCGATGACACTAGCGCCAAACCGATGGATGCGCTTTCCGCTTCGTTTTCTTGGGTGGGGTAGTTCGTCGTCTACTGTCTCACCCATTTCGGTGTCAGGACCCCATCGTTCCTTCCTAGCTCCTTCATGGATTGATCATTGCGCTCTCTGCCTTCCTTTCCTTGTTCATCGACGGCTTCGACTGGTCGTTCTTACCACGCACAGGCCTGATGGTCTAGTAGTATGATTCCTTGTTAGGGCTTTGTGCTGTTTCGAGGAGGTCCCGGGTTCAATTCCCGGTTAGGCCCTTGCTTTTTCTTTGTGCAAAATCGCACGAGCGCATGCTTTTAACAAGCTCAAGCCTTCAAAATTCCTTCCTTTCGCTTTCCAGGTGTCTCGGCTGAGAATAATTTTACCAACTCTCTCTCCTATGTTTTACCTCTTTCCCAAGCCTACCTCTTCCGCTCCTTCCCCTTCCTCTGCGCTTGCAGTTCGGTCCAACGATTCCATTTACCATCGCAGTGGCCTGATGGTCTAGTAGTATGATTCCTTGTTAGGGCTCTGTGCTGTTTCGAGGAGGTCCCGGGTTCAATTCCCGGTTAGGCCCTTGTGTTTTTGTGTAGCGGCCTCTTCACCACTCCGTTCTACTTTTCGGAGCCATTGTCGTGAGTTACACTGTTTTCCTCATTCATGTCTATTCACATGCATCGGCATCCTCATTTGGCAACTGTCCAGCACTTCAGGGCTTGTATTGCCGATACTTAGCTGGTCAAAGTAGACAGCAAGCTCGATATCAGTGGTTTGTTCTTAGTTTTGAATTCTACACAGCAAAAAAAGTAAAACAAAGATATGACAATTCTAAGGTGAAAGGTAAGTAGTCCCCGTCAAGGAATCGTAGATGTAAGTCGTCAGAAAGTCCTTCAATCTCTATAAACTCTTGCACAACATCTTCCCTCGCATAACCTGGGCTCTGCACAACTGCAGCTCAGTCGGTACTGAAAGCAGCGACGCAAACAAAATGCCGCTGGAATCTGCAAAGCCAATCGAGCCGATCTTGAACTCTTTCTCCTGGCCGGCGCGCTCAGGGTTGTACAGAGTCGACGGATTAGGAGGTTCCTGGTTTATATGATAGAATACATTCACGCTTGTATTGCCATGTTAGAAAGATGTGAAAACAAACATAAAGCAAAAAAGAACTTACTATGCGAGGCCCCCGCAGATTCCCTCGATGCTGATAAGGATGAATACCATGATGATACTCGCGGCGCTGGCAGACTCGTTGAAAATCCCCACGGCGGCTTCATAAGAGAGTGTTACGAATATAAGTCCTTGTATGGTTGCAGGAAGGGCGAGAAGTCGTGACGGAAGTGGTGGGAATCCGAGAGATATTGATGACCTCGATAAAAATACAGGAATCTGGTATACAAGCTAGCGGAAGAGATCAGCGATGCACAGCACCTGAAAGTCAAGATGAGAACGTACCTGCCAGAGAGGATAGTAGTCACGGATAGAATGAATAAACATGCTTAATATTGGATGCTCTTGGGGTATAGGAACAGGATATATGAGAGTCGGCGCAACACCCTAACCAAAAAGAATAAGATCATTGAGTCTACAGGTACGCGTAAGCGAAACCCTATGCACCTGGTTGATGGTATACTCAAACTTGAAATTGTTAGTTCACATGTATTATGTCAAGATCTAAGCGCGTACCAGATAGACAGCGACTATGAAGCAGATTAACATATGCTGCTAAACCATTTCAGATATGAACTCACACATGGGTAGCATATATTTGACGATTGAAGGTTTCAAAATGCGCCATTTGTCGGTGAGAGTAAGCGAAACGGTACGCTTGTGAAATCGCCCTGTTTCCATGGAGTTCTCCTCGCTGGGAAGCAACGAGTAGGTCGCCTGGAGGGTCAACTCCGATGTGGTGTCATCATCGTGGGTGGGAAAAGATAGATTACGAGAGAAGTCCGTGTTGCGGGGAAGGACTAGATAATACGCGATTGGGATTATGAATGGCAGGATCTATGGAAAAGCGTGTTAGACGTCAGTTATGCCGTGGCCACCGTCGCAGGAAAACGGACCGAAGAAAGGCCGACGCCAAGTCTGACGCCTAGACCGCGAAGTTCCCACCACAGTAATGCTCCCACTAGCCCTGCTGCTCCTGTTCCCGCCGCGAAATACCTAGGCAATCTATTAGATCGTGAATAACTCCGACGCTTGAACGACTTACATGACACTACACGCACCAGCTGCTGGTAGGGTGTAAGTTGTTGATAACTGAAGGAAGGTCATTTCGTTGAGGCCTGACTTGAACGTCAACTTGACAACAATTGCAATGCAAAAAATAGAACAAACCTGAGGCAAAGGCTGCGCAAGCAATGCCCAAGAGCCTCGTGAACATGCTTTCAAATCCTGCAACAATCTATGAAACAATTGTGTTAAGGTTTTCATTCCCCCATGGTGACAACTGTCGACGTACAAGCATTCCAAAGAAACTCAGAGCACAGCAGGAATTCAGACGCCTAGCATATCGTATCCGGCCCTTGAGGAGATAGGGCCATCCAAACTTTACAAGCAAAACAGGCGTGATATTACAGAAAGCTATTACGCCTTTTGGTGTTGAAGGCGGCAGAAGGTCTTGTGCAGCCGATAGCACGATAACAAACAACACTGATGACCATGCTTAGTTTCCAGAACATGAATAGGTATGAAGTGGAAAGCAAACCATTGGTGGTGACGCCAAAGAGGAAGAAGGAGAAACCAAGCCTCCGTAAAAGCTTCCGCTCAGTTGAGGCTGAACGCAAAGTCATGATGGCGCGGAGATTGAATCCATTCATTGTCACTGACCTTGATCCTCCAGCAATCGCGTTGATTCTCCGTGTGCCATGATATCTCTATCTTGTGCATATACACTACGTCCAGTTTTTCCGAAAAATGAACTCGTCTCTGATCGTGTAACACACTCAGCTCGCGGTATGTTGCTCCTCGGTGAGTTCGGACGTCGTTGGGTAGATAAGTTGAGAAGACAGATGGGCCTTTATGTTGGAAAGGACGATGACTTCCATCAGCTTGGTGATATATGGGTAGATGTGTTCATGGGCTTGTCGAAGCCACAAGGCCATCACCCCCGATTCGGATGCCTCATGCACCCCAGTTTGTACTTGACTGACTCGCGGCGTACCTCCACGCCTTCCTAATACGGTGCTTCCCAGTGAATGAGCGCATCTCTCTATCACTAGGCTGGAGAACACAGGTTTGCCGGTGTCAAGGTACGCCGGATGGTCAGTTGACTGGGACGTGGACCCTTGTTTGTCTGATTCCTAGTGATCCACTTGCTGTCATGACTCTTAGTCCATATAGATGACACCGTATATTTAACTCCGCCTTTGACGACAAGTAGTGGTCTGACTTTGTGCCGTGCCAGTACAACTCTCTCACATACCCGAACCCTTCCTCTGAATGGCCTTCTTAAGGAAAAATGACACATAGATTTGTCTGAATATAGATATCAAAGAAGTCATAGTTCAGATCGTGAGCTTCCCTGGACAACATGTGGTTGGATGTGTATGATTCAGTTGCGGAACTGTGTAAAACGGCATGCAGAGAAGCGCTTCAACCGAAGCGTTTGCTGAGATAGTCTGAACACATGGCTCTACCTTGGCTCTAACTAGGGGTCAGTAAAATGGTGTGAAGCTTAAAACAGCTTAAGGGAGGATTGTCATGTCGATCGACCCGTCCAGAGGAGTCGGCAGAAGAGCACAAACTAGTTTCCGTTTCTTTATCGCTGGGCTAGAATCGCGCACATTGTTCCCTGCAGACCCTTTGTACTTTTGATATCACGCGTCTCAGCCACAACGCCGCGGGAGGGTTGGGGTATGATGTCACGTCGTGATGCCAAATGAGCATATGCTCACTGGGCTGCTCTGATGTATAGCTCCGCTTGAGTGATAAAGAAAAGTCGTGTCTGAACTGTATTTATAATACAAACGAAATATTGATAACAAATTGAACGAACTTGCACAGGAACAGAGCCCGTCATATCAGACTTTCGCAAACCTTTGCAAAAAGTCGCGAAGAGCGATTGTTGCGGCACCGTTTTCTTCCCAAGCCGCTCTAAACTTTTCCTTCATGTTGAGGGCATTCTGTCTAGCCCTTTTTCCTTTCTCCGACCTACAAGCATCCAAAATGCGCCTAAACTCTTCTCCAACGGCCTCGCGTGCTGCCCTGGGAGTGTGGCCGCTTCGGTAAGAAGATTGAAGTCCGAGACCCGTTCTAACTTCAAAGAGCTCGAACCCTGCCTCCAGCTTGTCCACGACGTAAGCCGCACCTTGAGGCTGATCTCCAGTAAAAGGCCAGCAGATGCTAGACGGGGTGGCAGTCAGCTCTACACATATTCAAGTCATGATGAGGGAGGATTCATCGTACAGAGGAACGCCGTAGTACAGAGCCTCTTTGATACTTCCATGTCCACAATGCGAGACGAACCATCCGATTGCCTGTTCCATTGAATTTGGTTAAGCGTTAGCAAGATGAGATGTACTTGTACGTACTGGGTGATCAAGAATGAACTCTTGAGGGGCCCACTGACATATGAAATTTTGGCCTGAAGCTTCAATCTTCTCTTTTAGGTCAGGTTCAAGTCGAGCGTGAGGTCCTGAAAGGGTTAAGATCTATAGAGAAAAAGTGGTGTCAGTGCAGAACGTATCTCGAAGTCTAGCATCTTACAAAGGGGAAGTCCTTTTCCAACAATGCCTCGATAATCTCATCGAGGTATTCTGGAACGGTAGGCCAGTATACAGTGCCAAATGAAATCTAGCTAGCCATGAGAGGGATACAGAAGGCCGCTGAAGAACAAACCTACATAAACTACGGACGTGCGTCCACGTTGCTCCAAAATCTTATCAAGATAAGATGCAACTTCCAAGTTACTAGTGGCCCCACTAGACTTTGGCGGGTCATAGAGTGTGGGCCCAACGAGATAGACAGGCTTTCCTTGGTCGGAGTACCATTCTTTCAGAGCGTCCATGGTTTCCTTTCCGTACGCCTCATGAGAGGCGACGAGCATTGCACTGCTAACCTTCAAAAGCCTGGATGACATACGCTCATTCTCAAATATTTATGAGACGAAAATATCATATAGACTTACTCACGACCGAAATCGATGATAGGTGCGAAATATCGTATGGAATGCAGCTAAGACTCCATAATCGCATCGACTGATCAACCGAGCTCAAAGTCTGACATACCTTCTGCGGGTGCAGCTCATGATCGTACATAGGAGGAACGCCTGGAACATTGACGATACTCCCGATACATTGGCCGTAAACCTATCGTGCTATCAGCTACAAGAAACCGGAGTTGAAGGCAGATAGTGATATTTTATTTTACCTCTTGACCAATTTCCCACACATTTCGACCAGAGCGTGCGGCTTCAGCTTGGATCTCCTGAGTCTTATCGCCGATGCCCCCTATAGACTCTGGACCAAAGTTACGAAGGAATGCAGGGATGCCGGTCACTACCCAAGCGATAATGGGCACAGAGGTCCCTGTTATCGCTTGGGTGGCCTTCAACTGAGGCTTGCAGTAGAACTAAAC